AATTTCAAGGTTCAGTAACAGATGGCGCCACGTTTAAAATCTTTAGATATTTACTAAATTTAGATAAAATCATCTTTTATATAATGTGGAAAATACTGAGATATGCAACAAGACTAGTAATTTCATTGAATTAATCCGAATTCTTTTCGTCTTTTTCCAATTTATCTTTTGCTTTCTGCGATATTGGAATTTCGTATGTCGGTATCTACATATCTTTCATTGTAAGAGGTCACTGTAGATGTAGCCTCTGGAGGTTTTGTAGCGTTGCCAGATGTACACGAATTTCATTGGAATTATTAAGTTTTATTATTGTCATCCTTTTCTCTCAAGTGTGAACTGAGAAAAAGGAAAAATTCAATGATATGAACAATTTTTACTTGGCAATATTGTATTGACAGCGTCTGTTTGGTTGTATTTTTGTTTTATTTTGCTTTGATAGAGTTTAGAGTTGTAAGTTAATTAAGTGTGTCTTTTTCATTAAAATCTTTATTATTTAGGTGAAAACAGTGTTTCTGGTTATATATAAATAAAAGGTAACAGTGGAAATAGCAATCTAGAATTAACATATAAACCACATTAAAATTTAACTAAGTAGGCCATTAGAGATGAGCAGAAAATCGTAACCTGCGATTGTAAATACGCAATCGCAACCTGCGACAGAGCCTGCCACCGCTTTTCATAGTAAACTGCGACTTGCGATTGAAACATCTATCTGCGGACTTAGGAATTTTACGAAACCAATATTACTTATGTAGACATGAATTAGGATTGATTGATATATTCACTTCTTTTCGGCCACTTCTTGTTTCATTGGAAATGACTACAACTTTTGATTTTTAAATATCACGCACGGTATTTTTTTGCTTTATTCGATAGAAAATGACATTCTGAATATAATGACATATCATATTATGTTAACTTTGGACATTTTCGCTTAAAACAAAACTGTATTTTGAATTTCATTGTAGAGTACCATGGCTGCGTTAAAAACACTAATTTTTAATCAAAGGACTTTGGAAAAATAGGTTTGTTCGTCTAATGTTTTTAGTGTCTTGTCCTGGCCGCTTAAAATATGCCCAAATCGTACTTTTAATCATATCTCAATTTTTTCGCCATTCATTTTTTTAAACTATTCAAAATATTATTAAGTTTGACAAATTGTTTATAATGACAAGCTTAAGAAAACGAATTTGTAATAAAAATATTTTTTTAAGTGTTTTCTAAACAATAAACGTTCGGCTCCTAATAAATACCTAAATATTAACTGATATTTACAATTTCAGATCAAAAAATTTTCTATGTCGTAGGTTTGACTTGGTTGACGTTGCGTTGGTTGTTTTGTTATTGATTTTTTTTTAGTTTAGCATATGCGTAATGATATGTTTCTTTTTACCAGGGATTAAAAATTCAGACGAACATGGAACAGAAGAAATATGAAGAAAGAAGATACATCATAACTCAGGGTCAGAGAGCCGAAAAGCCATGGCTTTCGAAGGCCTACCAACAGGTTCTTGAAGCCGAAAGGCTGGGAATTATCAGAAAAGTTCCACAGGCCGAAAGGCCAGGAAATTCAAGGGAAATTTCCCAAGCTGCGTGGCAAGGAACTAGCCAATCTGTCAGAGTAAGTTCTCTAGAAGACGTGGACCTCATGACAGATGAAGAGATAAAAGCCGCAAAACTATCGGGCATCTCTAAAGCCAAAATCAAAAAACTAACAAAGCAAGGCTACGATTACATAGAGGCCAAAAAGGCCGTAATAAAGGCCAACTTTGTCAAGGTAGCTGAAAGGGCAAAAGGGGAACCGTCGAGGCATACAGAGGCCATGGCTAATCAGCAAAAATTACCGACCCAAGGCTCCAAAAGGCCGGTGTCATATGGAAGCACACCACCTGAAAACCAATACCAAGGCAAAAGGCCAAAAACTGAAAGCAAATCTGCCGCTCTCGTTAAGATAGCGGCAGTACATGCAGGATTCCCGGAAGTGAAGATGGAACTGGAAAAGCTGGAGGCAGTCCAAAAATTCATCTTAGCCGCGTATGAAGCAATTCAAGAAGGAGGGCCACAGGTACGCTTCCAGAAATTCATATATAAACCGGGGTTCCTGGAAATCACTTGTGCAGACGACACAAGTGCAACGTGGCTAAAGGGAATAATTCCAACTCTAAAGCCATGGGAAGGAGCATCCCTTAAGGCACTGGAGGGGGAAGAAGCAACTATGTCCCACGTATGTATCGTCTTTATACCAGACGAAGACGGGGAGCGGCTTGAGATCAAGAGAATTCTCAATAGATTAAGGATTAGTAACCGCTGCCTGAAAACACATTTATGGAATGTCATGGAGAGCGAACCTATGGACAAAGGAGTCTTATGGACCTTCTCAATGGACAAAGATTCAAGAGAAGAGCTTCATAAACTTGGAATGTCACCCTTCTTTGGGTTTGGGAAATTAACTTTCCGACCTATGTAAAGGAGGACAAAACATTGCTGCATAAGCTAGTGGCAATGTAGCAGGGGGGTCAGTGTGGGGGTTCAGGAAGAGAAACAACCATCTATAGTACCATCCAGCTCAAAAAGGACACTTGTCTAGAAGCAGACTGGCTCTATCGAGGAAGGCGAGTCTTCTAAACCAGAACCTTTATGTTGAAGAGAGAAGGAAGTGTCCTGCAGGCAGGGTGCAAAAAATTATGATTTTTAAAAACATTCAAAAAAATCGATTTTTTAATTTTAATCAGATTTTTTTATTTTAATCAATTTTCTATTTAAAGTCCTATCCCAAATGGCTAAATCTTTGTAACTCTGTCCGATATTGACAATATTAACATTTCTACGGCGCGTGTCATTTTTTTTGTAAACTTTGCCAATGCCCCTATTTCCGCAAAACAAAATCGGCCGCTTAGATTAAACGGACTGTTTTTGGAAATACTCATGACTGTCTTAAGTCGAGAATAAAATTAGTACCATCTACTGTGCAAAGTGCAAAGTACTTATTGCAAAACAAAACGTCGGTAGAAATTTGGAATGAACTAGAAGATAAATTAGAGAAGGCGGAAGTTAGGTTGATCAACATTCAGCTGTTTCAAAAAAGGTATAAAACAGCCTTGATTCTAGTTTATATTTTGACATTGATTAATCCTCGGGAATAAAAATATAACCTGACATCAGAAGAAACTAGTTCTGCACTAGAGATTGCGAATGAAATGTATTCAAATACCGGAGTTCTGGCACTTCACAGTTTCAAAATAAATTTCTGTCATTTAGAAGTGTAATGGATTCACACGAAATAACTTCAAAAATCGGTCCAACATTTTAATAGATGAATAGATATTAGGTATATGTGATATATGTTATATCTTTTTACAATTATTATTCTTCGATCTATTAAAGTATTTAATCGTTAGGGTATTATAGGGTATATTTAATATACGAATACTTTTTATAGCTTTATAGGAATAGTTTTTATAATTTTTACAGTTATCTTTCGATTTATCATAAGTTTTTAAACAAATTGCTTATTTTGATTGAAATCCATGATTAAAATAAAAAATCCGTTGATTTAAGTCAAGTTGATTTAAATCATTGCACCCGGCCCTGCAGATGAGCCTTCGAAAGGAAGAAGAAATAAGATACATTATTAATCGGGGCCATAGAGAAACCAAAGCCGAGAAGCCATGGATCTCGAAGGCCCACAACAAGGTTCTTTAAGCTGAAAGCAGGCAGAGGATAGCTAGAGAAATACCACAGGCCGAAAGACCATGAAATTCAAAAGAGATGTCCCAAGCTGCAAGGCAAAGAACTATACGCAACCAGAATTTTACAATGAAGAAAGAAGGAAGACTTCTGCAGACGAGCCTTCAGAAAAGAAAATACATTATAAATCAAGGCAGAGAGAAACCAAAGCCAAAAGTCGTGGATCTCGAAGGCCTACAAGGTTCCTGAAGCTCAAAGGCAGCGGACGCTAGAGAAATTCCACAGGCCGAAAGGCCATGTAACTCAAAAGAGATTTCTCAAGCTGCAAGACAAAGAATTAATAATTATTTTATTTTATTATTTAATTCATAATTAATTAATTGATAAAGTAATATTAACTTTATAAAACAAATTAATGCTAAAAATATTTATCATTTAACAATTTTGTTTTATAAATAAAGAATTTTGTTTCGTCAAACCACATAGAAAGACATTAACAGAATATGATAATAAATTTCATGTTTTAGTGTAGGAATTTTTTTTAATTAAAACCAAGAAAATTATATTTTCTCTGTAGCAGTTGCATATCAGCAGATTTAGAAGAGCATCTAAATAATATAGTTGTTAACTAGCTCCAATCTGTTATTTATGTATTTCAATTCCGTGCCAATTTGCAGTAAAGTAAATATTATACACCGTATGATCGAAAAAACGGCATTTAAGATGGCTGGGGTATGACAATAGATGATAATTTTGGAGAAGTCAAGCCCTAATTAACCTTTAACTTATTTTAACGTTTACTAAAATTAACATATAAATCTTGTCAAAAATTAACGCTAATTATACAAAGATGAAAAAAGATAAGATATTTCAACACACAAATCTAATTCCAAAAAACTGTTTTCTCAAATTTTAAACAACACCATTTAAACATTATTTTTACTCAATACAAAAATAAATTACAATCTAAATTACAAACTTTAATGGCAGTAAACGCCATTAAACAATAAAGAAGAGTATGGGACAAGTAAACGACGTCTAGCGTTTAACCTCGCCAAAATTACCAATTGTCATTCTCCAGCCATCTTTGATGCTGTTTTTTTTCCTCGATCATATGGTATTATATACTTCATGAATTCGGAACTATTATTATACCAATAATACCCAATTTGATACCACCCTTAAGAAATACATGTATATTGTACGTACTGTGGAGTGATTTTTATAACATTTTAATTTTTGAATTAGTACTTATAGAACTGGAATTTTTAATTAATAAATACTACAAGAGGTTTTCATATGAAATAAATTGATCATATTAATAATTCTTTTATTAAAAAATATGGCAAATACAAATTAATTTAAACATGATGGTATGACAATGCTGTAGAGGGTATAAATGACTTAAGTACAAAATAATTTGGTGTTTACTTCTTGTAAAATATGTTGGTTTTCCATAAAAAGTCAATTATACATTTCATCTGAGATGCTAGGCAAATATATTTTAATCTTAATTTATATAAATACATTCACCTGGCATAGAGTGTACTATTAGAGGAAATTTATTCTAAATTCTTACTTTGTAAATAACTTGTAGAGTTTTTTTTCGCACTTATTCATTTACACTCTGTATTATTTTAATAATCCATCAACTTTAGAGCAGTCTCTATGCATCTCCATTTTGTGGGAAGATAAAAAGGTTCAAAAACGTGAGGGAATGGCGTATCAGGTCCTGTCACTCTAGCCACAGGTGCTTCCAAATTTAAGAAACAATGATCCTAAAAGTAAAATATATTGTACTATATTGTATATATGGACTATTCTAGTGAAGTGATTCATGATTGTCGAGAGACTAAGTAAATGTAGAGACGGCAATGACAACTTTTCTCCGAGACTGATACACTTATTTTATTTATAACCACACCGGCATTTTTTTCGAAAGGAAAGCTAGAATTTTATTTTAATATAAAATGCAGTAAAAATGTCAAAATGTGGTATTCTTTGTTATGAAGTACGATACGCTGGGTGAGTCTCAAATCATCATCATCATCATTTTAAGCTTATTCAACTCTTTCCAATTATAGTGTAGCCATTGATGGCTATGCGGGCCCAAATTATCCCTACTAATTTCCTAGTGTCATGATCCCATCTCAGGTTTGGTCTTCTTAGTCTCTTAATTCCTCGTGGATACTGCGCTGTCATTTTGGGAGATTTGATTCTGTGGATGACATTTATTACCTGGGGTTTTTGTCGTATCCACTCTATTCTTTTAGGGTCTTTCTTGGTTATTTCCAGCATATTTCGTTCCATTGAACGTTGTGCGACCCGCAGTTTATAATATCCGTTTTAAGTGTCCAGGTTTCGCATGCATGACTGGAGTACACATTGGTCGAATGACTTCTTTAGATAAAGTGGCATTCAAGACTTGAATATGATTGAGTTTCTTCCATAAGTATGTTATTATGCTAACCAGTGGCGGATACTCCATGCTAACCAGTGGCGGATACAGAGGGAGGGCCCATGGGGCCCGGGCCCCCCCTAAAACCTGTAAATTGTGTTAAATATTAGGCTTTTAGGTTAAAAATGGCGCCCTAAAAAGCATATTCTACATTACTTTTTATTTTGCCCCGCCCCCTAAAATAAATTCCTGTATCCGCCCCTGATGCTAACTTAATTCTTCTGTCGACTTCTGGTAGTAGAGATCCCGAGCTGTGTATTAGTTGTCACAAATATATATATTCTTCTACTGTTTCCAGTGTTATGTTATTTATTAGGATGTCTTTTCTGTCTACAAATTCGTTATACATTTAGTTCGTTAATTTGTGCTTGTAGTTCTTCAGCACTATTGGCAATTAGAATTGTCATCAGCGAATCTTAGATGGTTAAGATATTCTCCATCTATTTGGAATGTCCTATTATGTCCTTTGTTAGTCCATTTCAGTTGACTGAAGATTTTTTCTAGTGTTGCGGTAAACAGCTTTGGGGATATTGCGGCTCCCTGTCGCACTCCTTTGCCAATTGGGATCTCTGGGGTTGCGTTATATATCATTACTACTTCTTTGGTTTTTTTGTTTCTTGACCTGTCAATAACCTGCTTCTTTAGGGCTTCTATTATTTCTTAGGATATATCGAGTCCAAATCCTTGTTCGTACTAAATCACCAAAATACACCAAAACACTTTACTTTTGCACTGAACGCGCGTTTCGTTAACTATATTAGCACATCATCAGTAGATGATTAAAACTCAATAATTATAATAAGAGTTTTAATCATCTGCTGATAATGCAACGCGTGTCTAGTACAAAAGTAAAATGTTTTGGTGTATCGTGGTGATTTAGTGTTTTTGTTTATTTTACAATACAGTATGAAATAAAATAGGTTCATTACATTCAGCTAAATGATAATCGGCAAAAAAGAATAATTTTACCTGAATTGTTGCAGCAATTTCAGCTCCAAAACCGGATGTTAGAGGTGCCTCGTGTGCTACTAGCACCCTTCCAGTTTTACATACAGACTGAAACAAGACGATTTTTATCATTTCGGGTGATAATTTATTTCTGTTTTAGGGGTATTTAGATGAATTATTTACCCTGCAAACAGTATCTTGATCCCAAGGCAAAATCGATACCAAATCTATGACCTCGCAAGAAATTTTATATTCTTTTTCTAGTATTTCGGCTGTTTCCGTCAAAACGTGCACCTGTGTACCCCAACCTATCATAGTAATATCTTTTCCTGAAAAGAAAACAGTCTCGTTTTGACTTATTGAAGCCTCAAAGTCATGGAATAAAAATACTAAGGAAGAAGCGTAATACTGTTTTTATGTTCATGCATTAGACGCAGAAGCTACGTCAGGGAAATACTAAACATAACATAATTAAAATATGTAAGTTATTATAATTATTTAATAACAAAAATACAGATGCGCTAATGAAGAGTCAACTTTGATCAATTTTTCTGACAGGTAGAGGTAAAGATAGGTAAGTATAAAAATTAAATAAAGGCGAAAGTGCAAGAAAAAAGAATGATAAAAAGTTAATTCTAAATCAATTTCATAGCATTATAATATATAATTACTTGAACGTAAAAGAAACTCAGAAAAGGCCAAACGCTCTTTTACTAATTTACTGACAGCTCAACTCTTTTTGGTATGTAGTGTTTTACTGTTTTGGCTCCCTATTTAGGTATAAAGGCATTTTTAAGTAAAAGAAACAGTAAAAATAGTAAAACAGACAATAAAAACAATAAAAAATCAGAAAAGCCAGTAAAAAGCCGCTGTCTGTCTCAAGTGTACCCATCCCTAGCCAAAATCTAACTGAGTTGATGGTAAATACCTTCCTTGAGAATATCTGCTTTTCCTAATGGCAATTGATAATCCGCAACAGGAACTTCTTCAACAGCCGCTCTGTACAGTGCTTTGGGTTCAAATACCAAGCAAGGATCTGGATCTCTAATACAGCTTAACAGCAAACCTTTGGCTTTGATTGGACCCCTGGGAATTACTACCTAACAGTACAAAAATAGTTTTTATTATTTTAGGTATAGGAACATGATATATCGTTGAAAAGCAAATTTACTTGTTTTTTGTAAAATCTTATATTTTTGTAAAATCCTTATATATTAAGTGTCTACATCGCCGTAAATAACCCTATATGTTTAATGGATTCAAATAAATAAATAAATAATGACTGATTACCTTTAAACCTGGTGTGTGAGCAAAATAAGCTTCTGGACTTTGAGAGTGGTAAAGTCCTCCGTGGCCCACAGCTCCACATGGGGCTCTTATTGTTAATTTTCCACAATCGAATTGATCCCCACTTCTGTATCTGTACTTGGCTGCTTCGTTCACTAACTAGAGATGATGTGATCATTTATAATAGTGGTTAAGTCAAAATACAGTGTGTTATATATTTGAATTATAGCCAAATACACTTTTATGTTTTTTGTATATAGGTATAGGAATGTTAAATATTTCTTATAGTTGTACAATGTAGAATAAACAACGGTCAGAGCAACATCGTGTTTGTTTGATTCTTCCTAAATTATTTAAATTAATAATTTACTGGACAGAACACAGTGTGTGCAAAAAGTCTCCATTAAATGACAGGTTTTCTATTTAAAATGTCGAAAAGCATTTCGAACCTTATTTATTAAAATTTTGAAAGTTGTTGTCTAAGAAGTTTGTTTAGTTTTTCATATAGACATATTCAATTAGTTTTGGTCTTTTTTTACTTTGTATAAAAGTATTTTACTTGATCAAAGGCTGGGAAAATATAATCGGCGAACTGAATTTCGGCGATGGCTGTGGATCCGGCAGCAGCTGCTCCTATACCAAATCCTGCAATTCCCTGTTCGCAGAGTGGAGTGTTAAAGACCCTACTCTTTCCGTACTTCTTTTGCAAATCTAATGTACACCTAAAGAAAAAAAGATTAGTTTTAAAAACAAAACAAACAAAAATTAAGTAACATATTTAAGTTATTTGAAAAATTGTCCCGCTTTACTCTTGAAAATTTTTTATAGTTTTGAAACTCCCCGATACGAAGTGAAATTCTTGAATATTGACTAGAATATTTAGAGTTTAGAATGTAGAATGAGTGGGAGTGGGGATGGAGTTAATCATTGCGACCTTAAAGATCTATTGTGTCCCTCTTCTTTGAGATATAACTCATCATACAGTCTATAACTCATCATGCATTAAGATTTTTCTGTTGTAGAGAGGACAGGGTATTTCCCATTCTCCTCTGGCAACAGATATTCTTCCTCTGAGGGTATACAATAACCTTTCACGGTTGGGGTTTGGCCCTCCGTGCCCTTCACAGTCGAGGAGCTTGTCTCCGAATGAGGTAGCCGTGAGGTGGAGGCTGGATGATCTGTCTTCCACCTCTTTATTATTTGTATTTATTTAGAGTTTAACAGGATGCCGAAACTTTTGTCAATAATAATCAATTGTCAATTTCTGAGAAATATAAAATATACAATTTCCAGATTTTTTCCATTGTTTCAAGATATTTTTGGACACACTGATGTGTGCAGGGTGTTCCTTAATGGCATGCCAATATTTAAGGAGGTGATTTTTTGGGTCCGTTTTATGAAAATAACTTGAAATGAATGTATGTATTAGATATTTTAACTTTCTAAAAATTATTCATAATAACTTTGATGTTATTAAAAATATCTTTATGAAATTTGATACACGCCGTCTTCTATGCATAAAAATGATTTTTCATGTAGCAAAAAAGAATTTGTTGTATCTCTCAATTTCCATCCAGTTGTTACAAAAACGATTTCCACGCAGTCAGCGCATCAGATTTTTAGCGATTTGACCCTGAAGTAAAAAGACTTTAATTTTTTAAGCACAAAATTTCGCCGGATGAAAAAAATCGAGAGATAAAAATTGTTGAAAAATGAATGAGGATTTTTAAAATAATGTTTATTTTAAGAGAAGTCAGTGGCGTACCATTTTTTTCTTCAAAATATTTTATGTAAAACCCATGTGGAGGCCACTGGTTGAAAAAAATAAAATTGTTTGAATATCAAAAAAAAACAGTGTGTGCACTATGTGCGCATATATGAAGTGAAACTTCTTCCTAATAGCTATTAAATTGAAGGGTTTGAAGAACATGTTTGAATAAGTGACATACAGGGTGAGTTTCCTACGATGTTCTCTATGGGTATCTCAGAAACTACTTGAGATGGAGAGTCGGTTAAATGGGGAAAGAATTGCAGTTTTGTGGGGTCATAAATATGTGCCTTTCAGATTTTTTAAAAAGTTCATGGCTTACTAGATATTTCGAAAAAAAAAATTTCGGCTATTTTAAAAATTGTCCCTAATTCCATTATAAGCTATTTTAGACAAAAAGTTTTCAGATAAAAGTTGTAGATAATCACATTCTTAATGAGATTGTGTCCACCGTTTTTTTCTAAAGTCTGTCATTTTTGACATATGACACAAACATATGTTTTTTTAAATGGAAACCATAGTTGACCATGATTTCATAAAAAGCGCCATTTTTTAAGCTTTTTAGCGATATAAGCGATAATATGTTTTCTTCGAAAAATTACTGCAGAGTTATAGCCAATTCTTATCATCTTTAAACAATTTCACTTAGTTAGCCATGGAAACAAGTTCAATCGCCGTTGCTCTCAGAAATGGGAAGCTGTCGCATCCAAACTTAAATTAAAATAAACAAAAATTGTAAATATGAATTTTTCAAATGAAGAAAAGCGTATCTACACGCTTATCGCGCATCAATAGAGTGTTTCCAACATGACTTTCATTATGACCCCCCCCCCATAAAGAAATGTTAAAAATTATTTATATCATAATAATATAAACTCAGGGATAGGAAGAGGTGGACTAATTGCATCGGCCTCCTCGGTCACCTGACCTATCCATTTTAGATTTTTTTATGCGGTATGGTTAACAATAAGGTTTACAAAAGAACTTATGAATTAAGAGAGGCACTCGAAGTGGCGGTACGAGAGAAGTTTAATTAAGTCGACCGGTCCTTCTGTGAGAATAGGTTTCAGAATTCAGTTTTAAAAAGATGTAGCTCAAAATAATGGCGGGTTTTTTGAACATTTTCTAAAATAACTTAAAGTGTATGCAGTGACTGAAGTGATATTATTTTTTAAGTTTTAGTTTGTGTAATGTAAATTCTAAAGAACCGTTTAGTAATATATTTTGACTTTTTATAAGTTATAAATCATAACAGAATAAGAATGCCATGCAATCTGAGTGAAATTAGTCAAGAAAGATAAGAATTGGCTGTAACTAAATTTAACTTTTCTAACAAGTCTTGAAAATCGTTCTCTAAAAAACATAACATTCACACATTCATACATTCAATGTATGGTCAAGAAAAGTTGAACCAATAATCTTACACGCTTTTCATCATTTGGAAAATTCATATTTACAATTTTTGTTTAATTTACAAAGTTTGGATGTGGCGGCTTCACATTTATGAGAGCAAAGACGATTAAACTTGTTTCCATGGCTAACTAAGTGAAATTATTTAAAAATGATAAGAATTGGCTATAATTCGATAATTTTTCGAAGAAAACATATTATAGCTTATATCGCTAAAAAGCTTAAAAAATGACGCTCTTTATAAAGCCATGGCCAACTATGGTTTCCATTTAAAAAAAACATATGTTTGTGTCATATGTCAAAAATGACAGGCTTTAGTAAACAACTGAGGACACAATCTCATTAAAAATATAAAAAAAAAAAAAAAAAACTTTTATTTGAAAACTTTTCGTCTAAAATAGCTTATTGAATGGAATTAGGGGCAATTTTTAAACTAGCAGAAATTTGTGTTTTTTCGGAAATATCTAATAAAGCCATGACTTTTTCAAAAATCTAAAAGGCGCTATTTGTGACCCCACAAAACTGCATTTCTTTCCCCATTTAACCGCTCTCTATCTCTCCAGTAGTTTTCGAGATACCCATAGAAAACATCGGGGTAGGAAAAAAAACTCAACCCTGTTAATGCTGTTTTAAATATAATATTATATTTTCAATTTTTT